GTGCATAAGGTTGCTATGGGTCAGTACTGACTCAATGGCACCTAACAACAACAATAGCACCTACAAATAAACTTATGAGAAAATCCCATCCAATTTTCTAAACTCAAAATGAAACCCTACCAAATGATATTCGATTTTACTGATAAAGCTAATTTTAAATCAACTTATAATTAATTAGGTTATCTAGCTTCTTCTCTGTGATTCTTGTTTCCCATTCCTTCTTCTTTACCAAGTCTTCTGAATTATGGCTTTAGTTAATGTTGCCCTTTTGATCTCGAATGGCTGACCATGCCCTGGTATATATACCTCAATAATACCGTTGCCCCTCTATATATCTATCAACTGCTTATATGCCTTTCTTTTTCTCTTCACAGATAATCAAGAGGTAAATGTAAATCTACATCCTTTCATCATTAAAACTGAAGAATGCTATCAAATTTCAACATTTACTTATATGTACAAGAAACTGAGCTAAGTAATTTACCTCTGTAATTTTTTGGAAAATGTCATGAATTGCCCTGGGTATTACTCCCAAGTAATCTTGTGAACCCATCATAGTATATGTTTTTCCTGAAGCAGTCTGTCCATAGGCAAATATAGTCCCTGCAAAAACAAAATACACACGCAAAGATGAGAAATGGTTATAGGGTGTGTAACACTATCTTTATTTGAAGAGGCACACAAAAATAAAATGTTTTTGCAACATGCAGTGAATACAAACCGTTGTAGCCTTGTATGGCAGACTCTATAATTGGTACTGCTATTTCTTCATACACATTTTTAGTAGTTTCATTACTATGAAAGACTCGATCTAAAAACAAAAACAAAACAAAAAGAACTTACATCAAACTTTAGTAGTTACCCATAGAAAATTGTCAAGATATGGAATGACAAAAAGGATCACTGGTGGTGTAGTGGGTTAACTGACAGCCTGCTCCTCTAAAGGTTCAAACTCACCAACTGCTCCATGGGAAAAAGATGAGGCAGTCTGCTTCCTTAAAAAATTACAACCTCAGAAACCCTATGGAGCAGTTCTACTCTTTCACATATGGTTGTTATGATTTGGAATCAACTCCCATGTTAGTGGGTTTTGTAAGATAAAATATTTAAGACATAATATTCCCTTCAATGGATTGGTCATTTGAGAAGTGCGGTGACTCCATATGATAAGCAATGGTCTGCAAACCACAAAATTGGTGGTTCAAGCCCACCAGCTATTCCATGGGAGAAAGAAGAAGCTTTCTCTTACTGCAAAAATTTACTGGAAATATTATACAGGGTGGCTATGAGTTGGAACTGACTCCACAGCATCAAATAACAACAGCAAATTGTTCATTTGAAAATACACATTTATTAGGTAAAATGTGCTAATAGTCACACTACAAGTCAACTATCATGTATACTTTCAAGTGGCAATACAGCACACTGGTTAAGTATGGGGTCTGGAATCAGACTGCCTGGATCCAAATCCTGGTTGTGCCGCTTACAAACTGTGACCTTGAGCAAGGTGGTTAAATGAGTATATGTAACCTTCTTTCTTTCTTTCTTTTTACAAAAGAAAAAAAATAGTGTTTTATTAACTACCACACTGTTATAATACACTTTAAACGTACAATAAGGTAGCTTTTAAATTTGAGGTGGTCTTAAGAATAACAAATGAACAGAATTCCAAATTTTTTTGAAATAGGTGAACTGCTGCAGTTATAGGTATACATTTAGGAAAATTGTATATAGCTCTTACAAGACCAGCAATGTAACTTTTATTTTGAACATTTTAATAATTGAAAATATAAACAATTAAAAGATAAAAAGAAAATACAGCAT